GGGAGGCGGGAAAAGGGGGGGGGGGGGGGGGGGGGGCGGGGGGAGGTCACGGGCACGCTCCGGTGCGCACCCCCATGCACGCTACACACCAAACCTCAGGCTTGGCATCCGCACTTCCCCAGGAGAACAGTCTGGACTAATAAGGCGCGATTCTGTGCAGGAAGGAAGCAGAGTTCTGCTAACTGCGTGCCTTGGAGTTCCCACAATGCTTTGGGGTTACCCGAACCCGGAACACGGGCATCCCGTCCCTCCAGGACTGACCCGCGAGGAGCCCGGCTCTCGGCGGCAAGGACACCGAGGACGCTCCATCTCCATCAAGCCGGCATCGCGTGGGCTGCCGCTGCTGCCCACTTAAATAAATCATCCCGTCCCTTAAACTCACCCCCACCTCCCCTAATCCTTCCAGCCGGTCTACACTGGTCCCACAAAGTCACCCTTGTATCTGAACTCCCCCTGGGACAGAGACACACACACACACACACACATACACCGAGTAATTCCGGCACATTTGGAGCAGTCGGTTTGCCCATCAGAGAGCCTCTGTTGTCCTTAGCATCGCGGCAGTAGGAGGCGCTGGCCGCTCACAGGCCCTGGGTCGCTTCCCTAATGATGATGTATGTGAGGTGGCTCCCCGCTAAAAGCACGTCCCGGAAGGGGCCCGAGTGAAGGGCCACACAGGACGATCCAGCAAGGGGGGGGACAGGGTGGACCAGCGTTTGTAGCAAGGGCCTCTGATATGCAGTGAAGACATCATAACGGGGGCGTACAATACTGAGAAGACAGCAGGACAGTGAGACAGTGGGACAACCTTTCCGCCCCCCCCCCCCCCCCAGCCTACACAGATTGCCGTGGAAACCCGAATGCCTCAGATGCATCGGCCGGCCCAGCCCACCCGCCGGAAGTGGAGTGGACAGAGTACTTTTGATAACTGTAAGAAGTCGTCGCCGAATGTAGATTTGTCAGACCGGTCCTGGACGCATGCAGAGCAGGGTTCGATGGATGGACAGACGGACAGAAAACAAGACAGAAGGACGTCGTTTCCCCAAATACATGACATGTGCTTATTTACACTGAAGCATCCTGCCAGTTTGGGCTCCACATCCACAGCTGCCCCGAATCTCCCCCATCGGCCTCTTCTGCTGCCCTCTTTGGCCTGCCTGCGCATTCGGGGAGTGGGGGAGGGCGATTGGCTTCAAACGCTCGCCCCCTTTGTTCAGCGGGCCCCAAAAAGGATCAGAACGGGCCGCCAAAAGGGGAGCGGGTGCCTCAGAACCCACCTGCTCCGGTCCGTCACTATTAATCAAACTGAATTAAATGCACCTGCCAAGAGCCGTGATTTATGAATATATTACAGGCCTGATTTGTATTCGATAGATCATGTTTGCGATGGAACTTCCTGCCGGACGGCTAATTTTTCACAAGCTAGACGGCAAAGCTCTAGCTTGTCGCTGGCCGTCAGGAGAGCGCGTGGCGGGGGGGGGCAGGGGTGAGGGTCGTGGGGAGGATGTGCACCACCCCTCCTTGATAAAGCGCGGCACACGCGGGGCATCCCCCCCTGAAAAGCATGGCGTCTGCCAGTGAAACATCACCACATCACCACCATGTGGAGATCAATTAAGGCATCCGCACTGTGGGGGATGGGGGGGGGGGTTGATTTGCTCGTCTTTTATCTCTGGCATGAGATGGATTAATGGAGGTGGGGCGGGGGGGCGGTACAGCAATGGAGAGCAATGTGTTTCCCTAAATTT